CTCATGCCCATAATCCCAGCACTTTAAGAGGCCGAGGCTGGTGGAAGGTTAGGAGTTCAAGACCAGCCTGACCAACATGGTGAAAACCCATCTCTACTAAAATACAAAATATTAGCTGGGTGTGGTGGCAGGTGCCTGTCATCCCAGCTACTCTGGAAGCTGAGGCAGGAGAATCACTTGAACCTGGGAGGTGGAGGTTGCAGTGAGCCGAGATCGCACCATTGCACTCCAGCTTGGGCAACAAGAGTGAAACTCTGTCTCGAAATTAAAAATAAAATTAAAAAAAGATTATACATCTTCATTATTTCAGAGTCAGTCTCTGGAGCCTTATTTTACCCATTTGATCAGGTCATCATTCTCTGAATGTTCTTGATGTTAGGGGCATGTGACAATGTCGTGTATTGGAGAATTAGGTATTTATTCCAGTCTTGCAATCTGACTTTCTTTGTGCCCATCCTTCCAGAGATCCTTTGCAGGCTGATTATTACATCCATTGAGTCTGTGGTCACTGCTGCTATTTCGGCAACCGATGGCACCCTAAGCTAAGGTTTACCACAAGTCTCTGGTTGGAGTAGAGGGAATTCCGAGCCCATTCTTTCGTGTGTCCATAGTTGTTATGCTCTTTTGGCCCAGAGGAACTAGAGCAAAGCCTAAAGGGGTCCATTTGGTTCTGCAAGTTTTTCCCTGGGGCCAGGGAAACTCTCGAGGTTTTATTCATGGTCATTAGCTTATGGAGAGTCACTATGTGACTCTGCCTAGTGCTGGGCTTCACCCTGGCAGGTCCAGCACTGGGCTCCAGGGCCATGTCTCGTGCCTATTTCTCTTTCCTTGTCCCAAAGAGACCTCTCTATTCACTCAGTCCTTCTGAGTTGAGGAATGGGTTTGTGGCCACTGCAGTCATTATAACACTGGGTTAACCCAGAGCCCATAGCTGTGAAGACCAAGGCAGCACAGACATCCTTAGACACATGCTGCTATGGCCTGCCTGCCAGTGAGGTTTATTACCGGCTCTGGGCTGCAACAGCGCAGCAGTGATACAAATAAAGACCCAGAGCTGCGGGGCTCCACATGGCACTGCAGCAGGGCATTGGCCTGGGGTCAGGAATGATGAGGTTCTGGCCATCAGGTTCCTGGGGTCACAAACCATGAAGTTCTTTCTGGCCAACCATGGCAGGTTAGTACTGAGTTGTAAGGCAAAGTCCTGCACTTACTTCTCTCTTCTTCCCTGCCAGTGGTTAGAGTCACTTTGCACTGTGCTGCCCAGGACTCACAGAGAAGTTGTAGGAGCAGTTTCTCAGTTGCCAAGTCTGGCACTAATATGGTTCACACCCAGATCCCATGCTGCCAGGACCAATACAGCTGTGGGTGCTCTCTAGCTTATATGGCCTATCTCTTAGTGGGGTTCACTCATGGCCTAAGGCCACTGTGGAAGGCTAGTGGTGGTGTGAGCTGGAACACAAGACCATGGTTTGGGGCCAAAGTTTTCTGCCTTGTACTGGGGTGAGTCCAGAGGTGCCACCCAGAGGCCATGGGTTTCGGCCTAGTACTGGGTTTTGCCATGATGGGCCTAGCACTGAGCTCTAAATCAAAGTCCTATGTGCGTTTCCTACTCCTTCCTCACTAAGGGTGGGCTGTGTCTCTCTCTGTGCTGAACTGCTGAAAGTTGGGAGATGGGTGACACAGGCAATGGGATTCTGTCCTTCCTATCCACTTGACTGTCTCCTTTTTATTATGTCAAAACTAGGTACTATAATCTCTCACCTGAACTCCTTGGCTCTCGTGAAAATTATGTGTAGATAGTTTTTCAATTTGATGTTTCTGCAGGGAGATGTTTCCGAAGGGTCTCACCATTTGCTTCATTCCTCATCTATAAAGGTTACTTCCAAAGACACTCTTCTGATCTTCCCAGGACTGATTCTCATGTGTCCCACTTTTTAAAATTTTATTTTATTTTTTAGAGACAGGGCTTACTCTGTCACCTAGGCTGGAGTAGAGTGGCATGATCGTACCTCACTGCAGCCTCAAACGCCTGGGCTCGAGCAATCTTTCTATCTCAGCCTCCTGAGTAGCTAGTATTATAAGTGTGTGCCACCACACTCATCTATTCATGTCTCCAACCTTTAAGAGCTTTCAATATTAGATATTTGGGCTCAAGTGAATTTAAGTTTTGGAGGGTAAATCTCTCTTGCAAAACAGATACAGGGGTGTTCCTATAGATGAAAGAGGGAGAGGACAGCACTGCCCACTGTTCCCCAGGTATCAAGGGTTGAGTTCCCTTCCTGTTTGTTCAGCTCGTCCTACTCAGACTTGCTAGGAAGTGGACACAGTTGTCCAGACTTGCTAGGAAGTAGATCCAAGTTGTTGACCATTTGGAGGTGAAGGGATGCTCAATGCTTCATTTCATTTTTCTCTAACTCTTTCTCTGCTTTTATAGGAGTTGAGTGATATTGCTCTGCTGTGGAAACCATCAGTTTCCAACCACCTTCTCCATCAAAACTTATGCACTCGAGCGTATACATAGTGTGTGCTCCTGGAGTCTCCAAATCAAATGAAGTAGTTCCTCTTGGCTACAAATTAGATTTGTTGAGAGGTGAGGAGTAAAAAGGACAACGAAATTAACAATTTCCCCAAGTTATGATTTCATCATTCTTATTACAATGAAGAAGTTTCTCGTGATTTTTTGGAAAAACTGCTTCACTAAAATACTAGTATTTTTCTTTTCAGGAGAATCTACAGCACAATGGTTGTAGGATGGAGTTTCATGAGGGTGACACAGATGGTCCGAGGTAGAGGTGGCTCCACTAAATGGAGTGCAGTATGTGTAAAGGACCCTGTGCCCACATCATCACCCAGAAATGGCCTTCCCATATTAGTATGACTTCAAGTCCTCATGGAGGTCCAAGTTCAAGTGGTCAAATAACCTGGCCTCTAAGGTGGCCTCCAGCTTGAAATCAAAGAAGTGCTGAGATATCCTCTATAAATCACATTTGGCAGCCCTTGTGGAATAAGGCAGTTGATGTATCTGGTTTAGAATGGTAAAATCAAGGGGCTTGGATGTGGAGATTCAAGTTCCCTTGAATGGGGACAGGACCACATGAGGGACTAGAAAGTGAAAAGCTTTTAAATAATGTGGCTCTCAGTTTTGGAAGGTATTTGTCAGTATTTTGTCCTTCTGAGGTTATGCAAGATCATTAGGATGTTTGTGTCCCAATAGTCTCATGTTTTTCATGATGAAAATGTTTGTGTGTGTAAGTATGTATATATTAATACTCTAACAATGCCATGTGCAAAGTGAGAAAACACAGTAACCCTCAAGTAGAAAGTGGGAGGTGAGAAACAAACACAATGAGTTTGTGGTCAACATTCTATGACTGATGACCTCACATCCAGACTCCAAGTCACACTTCAGCGGCCCCACAGCCCTCGTCATTGATGACCTCAATTTATTACCGATGATAGAACCTCATACACAGAGCAACAGAGCTGACCCCTATGATCTCCACACTGTCCTCTACATTGCCCCTTTCACCCACCCTGTTGAAAATCAGTCACCTGTACAACTTTCACTGTCTTTTTTTTTATTTTTTTGAGATTGAGTCTCACTCTGCTACCCCAGGCTGGAGTGCAGTGGCATGATCTTGGCTCACTGCAATCTCTGCCTCCCAGGTTCAAGTGATTCTCCTGCCTCAGTTTACTGAGTAGCTGGATTACAGGCACCTACCATAATGCCTGGTTAATTTTTGTATTTTTAGTACAGATGGGGTTTCACCATGTTGGCCAGGCTGGTCTCGAACTCCTGGCCTCAAGAGATCCACCTGCCTCAGCCTCCCAAAGTGCTGATTATAAGCATGAGCCACAACACCCAGCCAACTTTCACTTTCCATTTTTGAGTATTTCCATCATTAATTGCACTGATGGCTGCCTATCCTTCAGGCTGTCTCCAGCTTTGTTAATCTCTCAGGATAGCAGTGGATATTCAGGGAGATCCAGACTTGTTATAAGAGCCAGGGAGCATCCATGCTACATGAGTGTTGATGTGGCATTTCCCAGAGTATTTTCTGAGAGCTTATTTCTGAATATGCTCAAGTGGAAAGCTACCCAGTCTAGAACACTGCCAAGTTTCCCTGCTAAGGTTCACAATGGACATTTGCAATGTCTGAACTTATTTAACCTTGGGACCTATTTAACAGATGACATTTGTTAATATCTTGAGTCTCTTGTGTTCTACAGAGCACCTTCTGGAAAGCACTAAGTGTGTGCATCTGAAATCTTTATTAGGATCTATGTTCCAGGGAATCCAGTAAAGTGAGTGAAATGTGCTTTCTCCCTCTGTTGGTCTCCAACAGCATGAAATTTATGGTTTCCATCCTAACTTCCCAGGTGAAAGGAATGTTTTTGTGACACAGAATCTTGTGCTAACTCCTAAAATAAACATTCTGTTTTCGGTGTCAGACTCCAGGTCTCTGGAGGTCTGTTCCACCCTCTTCCTTACCCAGCCAACTTCCACCACCTCCCCATTTCATTAATCACTTCCTTCAGGAAGCGTCCCCTCGCCTCTACTTCCCACCAACCTAGCCTCCTCCTCCCCAGCCTGGAGTAAGAGCCCCTCCTCAATACTTATCTCTACCACCATTCAAAAAATAAATGTAAAAAAGTACTCCTTCCTTACTTGCTAGGTGATGGGCATGAGGGACTGTGTTAAAGGGACTTCCAGGTCAGCTGGGGGCTTTGTTTCCAGATCAGGACCTGCTAGGGGTCTTTATTTCCATTTTTCCCGCCGCTGGCTCTTAGGGACTTTGTTTAAAGGCAGGAACCTTTCCCACCTCTGGCCCTTGGAGGTAGAAGCTCACTGACGCAGGGTTGTAAAACAGTAGCCAATCCAGTAAAGGATTCAAAGATCAATTAATCAAGGGGAAGTTTGAAAGAACCCCTCTCATTGGACGAGAGCATGAATGGGGAGAAAATAACTCAGGGGTCAAAGCTCTAGCAGTCCCAGCCTGGAGGGGCACCCCCTCCTGGTCACCATCCACTCAGTGGAAGCTGTCCTTTTTCTCTGCCTAATAAACTGCACTACTGCACATTGTTTGGGTCCATGAGTCCTATTTGAGCTGTAACATTCACCACGATGCCGAGGCCCCCCTTCCCGTTCTTCAGTCTGAGGGAGGCCAAGAACCTGCAGCGGATCCGGTTACAAGCACACAAAAGTGATGAAGAATACTTGTGATTAAATCTCCAATTAGTATATTTGCTCTGTGAAGAAAGTATTATATTTTACTCAATTTTTAGCTCCAGTACCATGCAAGCACATAGTATCAGCTGCCCAATAAAAGCATTTGTTACATCATACTTATTATGTATATGTACAGTCAGCTCCTAACATCTTCTCAGAAATCAACATATTAACTACTTAGATGAATTAATTTGTATATTAATAGAAAGTGACTGGGTTAGCTTTGTGCAGTGGCAGTATCATAGCCAATGAGGTTTATCCAAGACCTGATTATTGCTAATTGAAAAACAAAAAAAGAAAGTTACTGGGGTATAAATAAGTACTCTTTCAGTCTAATAAGTGAATATTAAACATGCAAGAGATGGTCATCCTAAAGACATTACTCCACATTTGCTTTCTAAGCCATGACATTTCAACACAAAAGGAGATGGTTACTTTGCCAATCATCTCCCTGTGGTTTAAATCTGCATCAGGCTCCTCCTCCAGCTGTGACAACAAGGACGCCACTGTGTGTGCAAAAAGGTCTGCAAGTCTCCATCCCTCAGTCTAAGTTAAATAGGGTTCCACACACCCTTACCATGTCCAGCACTCTAGAAAGATTCAGTTTTCTTTTACATTTTGAAGAATTGTTATTGTTCCAATTATAAAAAAAATAAACGGAATAAATAAGTCAAGCAATAGATGAAAGGAAATCTTTGCAAATGCTTTTTTTTGTGGAAAAAATCTTACTTATTACATATGTGAGCTAGTAACCAGAATATAAACAGAACTCTCAAAACTTGCAAGACAACAAATACAATTAGAAATCATGTAGACATGAATAAACATTTCATCAGAGATAATATGCAGATGTCATATGAGAACATTAGACGAGGTTCAATATTATTATCCTTTAGAGAAACGTATGTTAAAACAATGTGATAGCAATATACTTCAGTCTGTATGGCTAAGAGGATTTGAAAAAACAGAAATTCATTTATGATGGGAATGTAAAATCAAAGTCACTCTGGATAACAAAGTGCTATTTTCTATTAATTTTAAACTTGTAACTATCATATGACCTGGGAATTTCATCCTGGACATATTTTCCAGAGTAATGAAAACATTTATTCACACAAAACCTGGTACATGAATGTACACATCACTTTTGGTCATAATAGCCAGACAATGACTGAAAACAACAATGTTCTTGAATGAGTGAAGGGGTACACATAATATTTCATGATGACATCCACACCATGAAAACCCTTAGCAATAGCAAAAGGAACAAACTAAAACATAAACCAATGTAGATGAATCTCCAAGGAATTATCTTGAAGGAAAAGGGCCAATTACAAAAGGGTGCACAGGTTATGATTTCATTTATATAACAATATTGGAAGGGCAAATTTGCAGAAATATAAATTAGTGGTTTCAAAGAATCAGAATCAAAGTGGATATGGTGGAGAGGAGAGAAGTGGATGTGGTTATAATAGGAAAACGAGTGAATCTTCTGATAGGTAAACCTATACATGCAATAAAATTGCACAGCACCCAGGCACACACACACACAAATGAGAAGAAAATTAATCTGGGAAAATGCAAATAGATGAGTAGATTAATTCTATTACTGTCTATATCTTAACTTTGATATTGTTATAGTCTTATATTTCATTATAGCTTTCTAGAGTTTTTAATAGTTTTATAATATAAATAACCACTCTATTCTCTCAGCAGTGCTTTCCACAAGGCCAAGTCTGAAGTATTCTCCATAGTTTATATCATTTAGTTCTTGAAACAATCTTATCATGTTAGACTTCTTAGAACCACAGGTTCCAGTGAAGCAAACTGAAACCCACAAATGTGAAGGGACTTTCCTAAGACACAGATAATAGGTGGCTGAGCCCCCCTTCTGCTATGGAGGGATGGAGCACTCACCGTTTGAGCAGGAGGTACAAGACCTGTGGGGTGGGGGTGAACACTCTGTAGGTGCACAGGAAGGAAGATGAGGACATAAAAGAGGTGGCAGCTCTGGAAGGTGGGCACCAGAGGCTCCTCCTGCTGCCTCACCATGCCTGCCTGATGGAATCCACCTGCAGGTCTCATCCAGATTTAGCGCTGATTTATTTCCACACTCAGTGGGACAAAGGAGGGCTGATTAAAACAATGAGCCCTAACAAAATGCAAAAACACTCATGTTCATAACATGAAGTGAAAGTAAAATATAAATAATTTGCCCAGATATTCTTGCAAATACGTGAAAGTTGATTTTACACCTGAACAGCACTGGAGTGAAATGGTGGGGCTGAAGGAAGGAAACAGACCCAGAGTCTCTTGGATTAAAACTAAATAGGGAAAGCCCAGGCAAAGTCCTGTGAGTCATCAAGGTGGAGTCCTGGCAGAAGGCCTTCTCAGCCATGTCTGGGCGCTGATTATAGAGACCGTCTCTACACTCATACCCCACGCGAGGCAGCAATGGTTATTGTTGACAGCACGGTACACCTGCCCCTCACCCAGGGAGTTGAAGTGTCCATCAGTTCTTTGACTATGTTCTGTGTGGAGCTCTGCAAAGACAAACCAGCAGTTAATCTTGCAGGCAACAGAGCCCTGCTTGTTTGTCCTGGCCTCTTCTGTCAGGGAGTCTTTCCATTCCCCAAATCAGCCACAGACCATAACTGCAACAAACAATCTGATAAGAAAATTACTAATTCTGTATATAATAGAACTCCAATGAATAAAATACCTAAAAACAAATTTAATGAAGGAAATTGAAGACCTGTACAATGACATAAATGAAACATTGTGAAAGTAAATAAAAAGACCTAAGCAGAAAAACATCTATGTCAATACAAATTTTTAAACTCTTAAGATGTCAATACTTCCAATTCAGTTTATAGATTCAATGAAATCCCTATCAAATTTCAGTACCACGTTTACAGAAATAGAAAGATATTTTTCATATTGATAAGGAAATGTAAGGGGCCCCAAATACATAAAATAGTGAAGAAAATCAACAAAATTGGCAAATTGACATTTTCCAATTTCAAAACTTCATGAACTTGGATTTGGTAATGGACTCATTGATATGGAACCAAAAGCCCAAGAAACAAAGAAAAAAGATACATGGACTTCATTAACATTTATTAAAAAATCTTTGTGATTACAAGAACATTACCAAGGAAGTAATAAGACAACTACGCATCCAGAAAAAGTACTAACAAATTACATACTTGATAACAGTATGTATTTATTTCATATATCTACAATATATGAAAACTCCTTACAACTCAACAACAAAAACACAAGTACTAAAACAGACATTTCTCTTAAGATGTTCAAATGGTCAACAAGCACATATAAGGAATTCAATGTCATGGGGTATTATGAAAATGCCAATCAAAACCACTGTGATGCACCACTTCAAACTGACTGCAATGGCTAGAATTTTAAAAGCGAAAGGAAAATAAATGTTGGCAAGGATGTGGAGATATTAGAGCACTTCCCTCTTGCTGCTGGGAATGTAGAATTGTTCAGCTGCTGTGGAAAATACTTGGAGGTACCTCTGAATGCTAAGCATAGAATTAACAGATGACTTAGCAACTCCATTCCTAGGTAATTTTCCAAAATAACTAAAACCAAGTGCTGAAAAAATGCATGTATACACAAATTCATATTATCAATATTCATAATACCCCCAAAAAAGAACCACCTAAATGTCCATTAGTAAAGAAGTCAATGGAGAAAAAAATGCAGGGCATATCAACAAAATTTTGTTCTACCACAAAGGTGAATGAAATTTTGATACAAGCTACAACATCACAAATGAACCCTAGAAACTTAAGTGAATGACACCACAAATAAACAGCACTAATATTGTAGGATTCTACTGATGTAAAATATTTAGAAAAGGCAAAATTCATTAAGACAGAAAAGAAGCAAATGCGGATTTTTGCTTAATAGGTAGAGTTTTTGTTTGGAATGATAAAAAAAATTGGACATAAATAGTGGTAATGGTTTAACAACATTATAAATATAACAAACGCCATGGAATAGTAAACTTAAAATGGTTGAAATAGAAAATCTTATATAAAAACTTTAGAAATCATTTTTCAAAATAGCTCTGTAAAACATCTGGTTAAGATGACAAAATCAAGCTACTTAATGGATAAAAATATTTTCAAACTGCACATACAGCAGAGGACTAGTATCTAGAATACGTAAAGAGCTCACAAAATGCAACCATGAAAAAAAAATCCAAGTGGATAATAGGCAAAATATATGAGTTATTCCAGAGAACATACAGATGTCAAATAAACACATGAAAATATGTTTAACATCATTAGTCTCTGTGAAGTTCTGATGCAAACCCCAATGGGATTTTGTTGCAAATCTTTCAGAACAGCTAAACCAAAAAATAGTGGCAAAAACATGTGCTGCTGAGGATGAGAAAAACTAGGTCACTCCTGCAAGCTGATGGGAATGTAAATGGTACAACCACTCAGGAAAAGAGTTGACAAACTTTGTAATGGACCGTGAGAAGGTGCAGGTTCCCTGGCCACAGCCATTTCCTGAAGGTTCCAACCAGTTCCATCGCCTCTGTTTGGGAATGTCTGGCCACACACACTATTTCACATTTCTAGGATTCCTGGGTATCCTGATTTCTTCCCTAGGATTTTATCAGCTGGTGCAGGTCACAGCACAACAGAGCTGTGACAGAGAGACACCAGAGCTCATTAGGGGCAAGTGAAACACAGTGACAAGTGACCACGGGAACAAGCAATGATATCAATATGCCTTTGTGGGTTCATTCCATCACCCCTTCTGGGTGGTGCATCTGAATAAACAGTTCCTATAATTCTGGCCTCTATGACAGGAGTGACAGTTGTGGGAGGTCATGTGCCTAAGCTGACCTAGATTCAGCAATCCTCAGAATCTGTCCCTGGCAGGGGCATTTGAATTTAAGAAGGACTAGTTCAGAACTTGAAGTCAGACACTGGTGTCTCCCCACATCTTCTAAATGCAGGGCACAGCCGTGAGCAGAGAATCCTAGACATAGCTTCCACATGAAATGACCCCCTCATCCACAGCAAGAAGTGTGGCCACACTGAAACAGGAGTCTGATGTCCTCCAGGATCAGGGGCTTGACCTAAGGCTGCAAGGCCACTAATAGGACTGTCACCTTTGTTTAGAAACATAAACACTTAACAGTGACATCACCATATCTAGTAAGGAGTCTAGCTCCATTTTTATCTTTGACCACTGACAATGTGGAGGCTTCCACTAATCCCATCCTCAAACATGCATATTTGGCACTTTGGTTCTGGTGAGACATTTGATCCCTGCTCCCCTATCCAGGGCTCCAGACCCCTTCTCAGACCAACTACCACCTATAAGATGGGTTTATTGAAATTGTTAGGTGTGCATTTTTTTAAGAAATTAATTTTAGATTAGTCATTGGGGATATCCCTAGAGAATTTTGAAATGCTAAAGTCTGGATCTCCAAGGCAACTGATTTCCATTCTCAGTGAAAAACAGTTACAAGTTTTATAAATTTAGATAAACTTGGCAGTTTGATTCTCTTCACAAATTGTAACAAAAGACCTACTGCATTTACTTATGTTAACCATTTTATTCAAACATGTACATTTTATACAATATACCCATTTAAAGTATAGAATTCACCAGTTTTTGCTATTCTCACAGATACATGTAATCATCACCAGTTAATTTTCATCACCTGCATGATAAGCCCATGTACCCTTTAAGTATCCATTCATCTATCCTGCCATCTTCCTCCCGCAACATCCAACCCCAGACAACCAGTAATCTACCTGCTCTCTGTACATATTCCCTATTCTGAACTTCCGTGTGAATGGAATCATAACATGTGAGGTACTTATAACTAGCTTTCACTTACTACAGTTTTTTTTTTTTTTTAAGAGACATACCTGATACAGCATGTTCCAGTACTTTATTTGGATCTATGGTGGAATTGTATTTGATTGTGTGGGCATTATTAATACATATTTTGTACCATGCATTAGATGATAGATTATTTGGGTTCTACCTTTCGGCTATCATGAATAATGTTTCTAAAACATTCGTGTTCAAAGTTTTGTGTGAACATGTTTCTATTTCTCTTTATACCTAGATAGAAACCGATGGATCATAGAGTACTTCTGTTCAATATTTCTTTTAATGTAAAAGGTTTTCTAATTTATTATTTTTTATTGTGGTAAAAACTTAATATTGAATTTACCATAACCATTTTTAAGTGTTCAGGTCAACAGTGTTAAGCATATTCACATGGTTGTGCAAGAGATTTCTAAAATTTTAACTTGAAAAAGTCTAAGTTTATATCCACTAAACACTGCTTCTACCTCCCTGCCAACTCCAGTCCCATTCTACAGCCATCAGCAACAACCTTGCTATGTTCTGTTTGCCTTTTGAGTACTTCGCAGAGTTCATGAGGGGAATCATACAGTATTTATTCTTTTACTCCTCCCTTATTTCACTCAGTCTGAGGTCCTCAAGGTTAATCCATGTTGAACCAAGTGACAAAATTTCCTTCTCTTCCCTTCAAGATGCTATTGTACATTATTTTGGATGTACACCCAGAAGTGAAATTACTGGACCATATTTTAACACTGTTTTAAATTTTCTGACATGCTTAACCCCATTTTCCAAAATGACTACACCAAAAATGCACAAGCATTCTAATAACTGCAGCTTCACCAACACTTGTCATTTTCTGTTCTTTTGATGTTGGAGATTCTAATGGGTGTGAGGAAATGGCTCACTATACTTTCAATTTGCATTTATCTTATCATTTGTGATGGTGAGAGTATATTGTCATTTGCATGTGTTATTTGTAGAACTGTGCATTCAGGACATTTGCCCATTTTTAAAATCAGGTTATTTTATTTTTGTTGAGTTATTGGAGTTCCTATAGTTCTTTTTACATTGAGAATATTAAATCCATATCACATATATGATTTGCATATATTTTGTCCCATTCTGAAGAGTGCATTTTCACCACGTTGAAGATTTCCTTCAGCGTACGTCTGTTAACTTTGATGCAATCCCACTTTTCTTTTGCTTTTGTTTCCTATACTGTTGGTGTCATATGCAATATATCACTGCAAATCTAACATTTTGATACTTTTCCCTTATGTTTTTTTCAAGGAATTTTACAGTTTTACATCTTCCATTCAGGTCTTTATTTCACTTTTAGTGAATATGTATTTGTGGTGTAAATTACTGATCAGACTTCATTTTTCTGCAGGTGTATATCCAGTTTTCTCAATATCATTGTTTGAAAAGATTGTCCTGGCTTCATTGTGCAGCCTTGGCACCTTTGTCTAAGATCATTTAGCCAAATATGCACTACATTTATATTCAGGTTCTCTATTCTGCTCCATTGGTCTACCTATCTGTCTTTGGTCAAGTAATGGGCCATCTTGACTACTGCTGCTTCCTATCATGTTTCTGTTTCAGGAATTGTGAAGACCCAGCTTTGTACTTTCCTATCAAGATTTCATGTTTCAGACATGAAAGGTTCATAAAACTTCTATGTAAATTTTAGAATTTTCTTCTATTTTTGCAAAAAAATCCATTAAAATTTTGGTACAGATTGCATTAAATCTGTAGATCACTTTGGGTGGTATAGACATTTTAACAATGTTAAGTCATCCAGTCTGTGAACATTGGATTCTCTGAGAATATAGAAAAAAAGCCAATATTAATTGTTCCTACTCTCGTAGAACAATTAACACGGATGTGTGACCAGATATATTGGCTTCTTCTACACACAAGAAACAAATAATTTTGCAAGGGATTCTCCAGCATACACCAGCAGGTGTCCCCTAATTCAACTGATTTCCAACACTAGCTTGAGATAGCATTGTTGTGGGAATTCAAGCCAAGAAGAGCAGAAAGACCAAGAGACACGAGAAAATTTCTTTATTGGAGCTCCAACTGACCAGGTGGCCTTACTGCCTGTAATGGCCGCCAGCCCTGAACAAATAGAACACATTGCTTTTATACGATTGGAGGCAGGAAAACAAGGCAGGCAGGTTTTGGACAAAGACAGTAAATCATGTTTTACAATAGTGAGCTTCATGGTCATTTGATTCTATAACCTTGCAGGTAGGAGGTTGAGAGGTTCAGGAGGACACTCAAGGAGACCACAAGAACAGGAATTGCAGAAGTATGTGCAGGCTGCAGACCTAAAGATATGCTCTGGTTCTCTTATCTATGTAGAGAAAGGATGGTACCAGGTCTGCTTTGCCTCTATTTTCTCTAAATATACAGGTTTTATGGCTAGCCAGGAATGTGGGCTGTGAGATAAATTTGCAGCTGCAGTTAGTTGGGCTAAGCTGGGAAGGGTTACTTATTTTTGATTACTATGATTTTTCTTAATGACCTAGTCCTCATGTTAACTATTACTTATTCCATTCCAACTCTGTCTTTAACTTTATTTTCCTCCTTAGCATCAGATCCTGCAGGTTAAGATCTCAGCCTCACAAGATTGTCCCTGCTTCATATACTAGCTATAAGCTTAGGTTGCTGCAAATTCTGACTAAGTCACTTTAAATTTGGGTTCCAATGGCCACCTCCTCAAGTTTAACTCAAAAAAACACGACTTACATTTACCCATTTATTATAAAGGATATTACAAAAATATAGATGTACACCCAGATGGAAGAGATGTATAGGGTACGATATACGGAAAGGGGCATGGAACTTCTATGACCTGTGTTTGTGTATCAACACTCTATAAACCCCATATGTTTACATATCCAAAAGTTCCCCAAAAGCAGTCCTTCTGGGTTTTTATGGTGTTGTCATTACAAAGCAATTGGCGATAAACTTAACACTCAGCCCTTCTCCCCTCCAGGGAGAGGAAGGGTGAGGCTGAACATTCCAACCACCTAATTACATGATTGGTTTTGGTTCCTCCCCCTCCGCACCCTCCCCCACCCCCCGCAATGATCAGCCCCATCCAGAGGCTATGCAGGAGCCCCCAGCTATCAGTCCTTTCATTAACACACAAATGACACATCATCACATCATTTTGGATATTTCAAGTATTTTAGGAGTTCTGGGCCAGGTAATGGGACAAAAGCCAGATATATATTTCTCAATATCACAGACATCTTTCTGTTTATTTTTATCTCATTAGTTTTTTTTTTTATCAATTCTTTGTAGTTTTCATTGTTTTGCTTTCTTGGTTATGTTTATTCTCAAGCATTTGTTATGCTATTTTAAATGGAATAGTTTTCTTAATTTCCAATTCTGATTACTCACTGACAGTATACAGAAACAAAAATGATTTCTTTGTGGTGATTTTGTATTCTACGACTTTGCTGAAGTCATATACAGTTGACCCTCCATATTTCTGGATTCTACATACATAGATTAAACCAACCACAGATCAAATATATTCACAAAATAAAACAGATAGCTTCACATTATTCCTTAAACAATACATTATAGCAACTATTTACGTAGGACTTAACATTGTATTAGTCATTAGAAGTAATCTAGAGATGATTTAAAGTATGTAGGAGGATATGCATAGATAATATGCAAATATTGTGCCATTTTATATAAGGGAATTGAGTATCCATAAATTTTGGATTGGGGGGATTCTTGGAACCAATCCCACATACATAGGATGAATGTATTAGTTTTAAGTTTTAGAAATTGAATCCATATGTGAGATATGGCAAGGTTTCTCTTCAAACAACCACATTCTTTAATACCCAGTACCCCTGTCCTCTTTCTTTTTCTTTCCTTCTTTCTGCTTTTACTACATGCCCAAGCAGGCCACAGCACCAGTGGCATTACCAGCACCAGCTCATAATTCCTTTCCTTATTTGGATAAAGACTGGCCCTCTAGCTCACTGCAGATGACTCCTTCTCCCTCTCCCCTCTCTCCCTTACCTGCCTACCTTTGAAGTATTGGATGCGAGATTAAAAATTACACCAAGACAAAAGTATGCCAAATTGCAGGGTCTTTTATTGCCGGCAGCCACAGAGGACTCACGTCTCTCCAACCTGTGGCCCCGGGCTCAGGGAGAGAGGAGTTTTTAAGCTGAAAAACCACATCCTGGTTTTAGGACCGAGAGGGTGAGGTGCGGGTGTGGGGCTGAAGGGATTCAAACATTCCGAGGGCCAGGGGATTCCGTAAATCACCTCCTGGGCAGAGATGAGGGTGGGGGTCTCCGGACATTCCAAGGGCTAGGGGACTTTTGTCACTCCAATTGTTACTTAAGTGGTTTGCAGAAGTCAAGATAAATGTTAGTTTACACATTGTCTGGGTAGTGGTGGAAATCACAGAACTTAGTTACTTATTACAAGCTGCAGGGGCCAAGATGGCATTAGTTTGGGCTGCTTATTCTGCCAATTGCTGATAAGCAAAGGCCAGCAATTCTGGCAGTTACTGATAAGAAAAGGTAAGCGGCTTTACATAGTGGGCATTTTTCAGAGCAAACTAGCAGTTTTATTTACAGAAGCAGTTATTACTAGGAGAATGGGGCAGCCGTTAAAACTTACTTTTTGGAAACACAGCTTTGTCTTATAAAATGGTGTTGCTCAGGTTCTGGCTCTAGGCCAGCTATAGCACACCTTATCTTGTTGTACCCTAGCGACTCAAGGAATGCACCACACTCTGAGATTGAATTATGAGTCCTTTATTAAGCCAGCAACTGAGAGTGGCTAACACCCCCAATTCTCTCTGCCCTGAAGAAAAAGTTAGGCGGTTTTTTTTACACTAGTTTTAAGAGGAAGGGGGAAACCTAGCTGAAACAAAGTTTTCACAAAGGCAGAGTGAGCAAAAAGTTAAAAAGGAAAACTGATACATAAGAAATAAAACACTGCCAGGTGTGAGGAGCACAGCTGTCATGGAAGACATACAACTTAGACATAAGGGGGCTCTGGGTGCTCACTGCATCTGCATTTCCAGGCTCTGCTGATACCACTTAACTCAGCCTCTTATCAACAAAGGCATTCCTTGGTGCCCAGTGTCAGCCTGACCTTGCTTTATACTATAGTTACATACTTAATGGAGAGAAGGTTAGTAAAATGAAGAAACCAAGATAGAGTCTGTCTGGCTCAAGAAACTAACATAAAGCCTGAACAGTTTTAGTAAGGGAAAAGGAGAGTTAGTTTTAGCTGGCAAAGAGCAGGGTATCACAGTCTGAGAAAAAGTTTAAATGTCCAGCCAATTGGGTCTAGTTCAGACTATATGGTCCAACCCCAGCCAATGGGGAAAGGGCACAAAGGCAGGATTTGCATCAGGAATAACAATTTGCTTTCTCCTTTGTTCTATGTGCTGCTTTCATGGCAATGTGAGGGGCTTGCCTTTACACAGAAGTAAATTTGCCTTGCTGAGAAATCCTTTGTCTGAGTGCTCATTTTCCTTATGACTCTGAGCTTAAACACAGATAATTTTTATCATCTTAGAAAAGAGATAATTATACTTTTTCCTGTTCCATATAGATGTCATTTATATCTTTTTCTTGTCTAACTGTCTGGCTAGGATTTGTGGTAGTATATTGAATAGAAGAAATGAGAGTGAGTATCCTTGCCTTGTTCCTAATCTTAAAAAGCTTTCAGTGTTGCTATTCAGTATGTTACCTGTGGGCTTTTCATAAATGCCTTTTCCTATGTTGATGTAGTTTTCTTCTATTCCCAGTTGGTTACGTGTTTTTAATCAATCAATTCAAGGGCGATACATTTTCTCAAATTCTATTAGTATATTTTGTATTTCCAATGGTTCAAAATTATGCACTTTTATTTAAGCTTTTTGTTGGAAAGAAGAAAACAACAAAAAGCTTATTACCTTTCCTTTCTGTTTTGTTTTCTGGTCACTGGTAATACTTTGGAGAGGGAAGGGACCTCTCTGCTGTAATTTGTATAATTTCTTTTTCCTCCAGAAAATTTCACATGACCATTATCACTCCTGCATGGCCACAGATGCTTTATGTAGTTTAGTGATATCAGGCTTCATTCCGATTTAAACTAACCCCTTTACTGTGCTATAGAGATGCCACAGAAGTTGTACTGGATAACCCAGAAGATCAGGGCCTTTGTTGTGTTAGAGGCATGGACAGCAGCAGGAGCAGCAGAGGTACTTAAAGGTCATGGTGAATGCAGATTTCAGGATAACATCTAATGGCAGCTTTCCTATCCTCTTTTCTCTTTATTTCTTTTTCAAATGACTGTTCCTTTAGGAATGACCATCTGATGGTCCCAAAACTAGAAATGAATAAAATCTCACCACCAGCTCCCACCTTCAGACCAACAGATCAAGTCTCAAGCCCAGTATCAGTCACAGCTTTACTTTAAAATATACAGATAAACCTCAGTCAAAACGTCCAACCCAGAACCACATTAAGGAGAGCTTCAGTCCAACACTCCTCCTCATAAAGGTCAAGGAATTATGCAAAATGTTAACCTTGGCCATCTATTTACCTTGGCCATCTCGGCAGAACTGATACTTAATATGCCTCAATAATATGACACAGAATAGTCAGCACCACCTCAAAGTGGATGCTGGCCATCAAGCAATAGAGCAGGTTAGCAACCCAGACAAGGGAAAACAAACCTATGATGTGGTGATCAACACGCAGACACCCTGTTTATAGTGCCAGTTGCTATGGTCACCTGAAAAGGTGTGGTACTGATGGTGATATTGATAGCTATGTGGCACACACACCAAAAGAGTATGAAAAAGCTTATTAAGCACATAACTGAGGTTTCAGGAAGAGCACGGCAAGTCTCTCAAGCAGGTGTGAAATGTCTAGGGAGAACAAACAAAATAGCACTAATACCCATTATGATTGCCAGTGCAGAAATCCACATATAAACACCAGCAAACCATGGTGAAGAACATATTAAAAGCATTATTCACTTGAGCCTCGGAGGCAGAGGTTACAGTGAGTCAATATCGTGCTACTAATCTCCAGCCTGGGTAACAGCCCTGTATCAAAAGTAAAATAAAATAAAATAAAACAAAATAATAAAGAAAAAGGTATTATTTAATATAACCAAGTGATATTTATTCCTGGAAGGGAAGGATGGTTCAACATATGAAAATCATCAATGTAATAATACACCAGGCTGCACTATATAAAAATGATGAAAAAATGACAATCATCTCAATTGATGCATAAAAGCATTGCATGAAATTCAATACTCATTCATGATAAACAACCAAAACATACTATGAAAAAAAGACAACTTCCTCAGCCTGCTATAAGCCATGCATGAAAAGCCCCCTACATAATTTTGATGGCAAAAAACTGGATTTTTAGTATCTAATATCAGAAACAAAACAAGGTTATCTGCTTTCACTAGTTCCATACCAAGCAAGAAAATAAAATGAAAGCATTCCAGGTTTAAGAATATATACAAACACAGTACCCCAGACAAATATACAAAATCACATTTTGCCACTGTATATATAAGTGCATAACCCCAGACACAGACACATAAACTCGCAAACCTGCAGATATAAAGGGCCCAAGAGACACTAACTGATACTCCCAGAGAAACAGACACCAGGCCTGCACTTTGCTCCAGGTTTCTCTGCTTCCTTGGGAATAATCACCAGGATACATTTTGCTTTTTGTTTGTTTGTTTCTCTTCTAGAATGTCAGGCTGGAGGGGACAGTAATATTAACAGAGCTTTGTTCACCGTATGAATTAGAGAACCTGTTAAACAGAAGAAATGAACAATTATTGTATATTAGGAGTCAGAGATATACAAACAGGTTTCACACAAACCTCATCATAGGTCCACATATAATTGATCTTCAAAGAGTGAATTGTTCTCACCCCCATTCTATGTGGTAGAGGAGTGCCTCCTAGCTCCCAAACCTCTCATAAAAGGTGGCTCTTCAGCAATCCTGACAGGGAAAGTATTTCACCCTACATGAACATAAAGTACAAAAATCCCTTCTATACAAAATCACAAAATGGGAGTTGAAGGATGTAAAACAGCAAGCCTGAAATGGATTGAGTAATGATGCTCAAGCCCTCCAAACTGCTATAAATGTTTCTAGGAACATGTCCCTTATGACCTGCCCCTTTCTCAGCTCGTTTCCATGGAGAGCTCAGTGAGGGTGGCAAAGGCGTGTATCCCATGGCTCAGCCACCATGCCCTACACGGTGCTCTCCTTGGTAGTCATCCTCCACTGAGGTCTTATTTGTCACCAGACCTCACTTCAGATATTCTCTTGAGGCCCACCATATTCCCTCAAGCCTTGCATGGCTGCCGCTTGACCTACATCTGCTCTTGTAGGAGGGTGGGAGCCTAGAAAACTCAGACCACAGGTCTTCAAGCAAGATAAAGATCACTTCTGGGACCTAAGGAAAGACAGGAAGTTTTTTTGAGGTCAGACGAAAACCTGGCTGCCCGTGTTTTGTCAGTGCTCTTGCATGGCACTGGCTTGCTACCCAAGAAACAGGGAGCACTACCTCTGACAAAGGAGGATTCAACACCCACACACCTGCACAATTTAACAAAGATAGAAATCTTCAGTGGTTCCAGGATGCAGTTTCTTGGGAGTCCAGGATACCTTGCGGTGTCAGAAAACTTGAGATAGGTAAGTTTAAAAGGGCAAACAGTTTGAGTGTGTCCTTCAGCTAAGATATGGGAAGCCATATCTTTGTGACTCCATTAGCGGTTTTGAGACTATTCTGACTGTAGTGGTTGATGCAGAGCTGGTGGTGATGGGACATTGGTTACTGTGGGTTTAGGGGGCATGTGTCCCAGCACACAAGTTCTGCCACTGCTTCTTCAGCCCTGTCAGCGCACAGCGACCTGGGATTGCTACAGAGAGATTTTCCAGTGTGTGACAGACAAAAATGTTTCTGGCTGTGGAGGTTGGTGCAGAGCTGATGATGGGACAGTGGGTACTGTGTGTTTAAGGAGCGTGTGTCCCAGGACACAGGTTCTGCCACTGTTTCTTCAGTGCTGTCAGTGTACAGCCACCTGGGATTGCTACAAAGAAACTTTCCAGTGTGAGAAACATGAGAATTTTTAAGCACATTTACCAGCAAGCATCTGCAGCATAGGCTTGCAATGAGAAAGTGGGGGCTGGAAATGACCTCAAGACAACCGTGAAAAGAAATGATGCTGATGCCCATGAATTAGAACGTCTATAGGCAGATTCCAACTGAGAGAACTATGAGATGCAACTCTGTTTCAGAAAGACAGCATTTGCAAATATCTGACCCACGGGCATGGATAGGAACTCAAAAATAGATTCTAGGATCCCTCTTAATTCTACCCAGTCATGTGTCTGAGCCAAGGGCAAATACTGCCCTAAAGCGTGTTTCCTAATTTCAAACTGAGTTCCAAGAAAAACCTGTTGAGGTCCAAATCCGTCATCCCCAGTTCTTGAACTCATCCTAAGAAGGATCCCAGGGTGGTGGAAAGAAGGATTACACATGCAATGGAAGGCACTCCCATATGGCTGCAACTTAAGAAGTTGCTCACCAGTGTAAATGTTTTCCTGGTCTCAAAATGAACTGGGGGAAGAAGAATTTCCCACATCTTTACATTTATAGGGTTTCTTTCCAGTATACATTCTCCTGTGTGCGAAAAGACTGTGTGAAATCTTTTCCAAATTTCTTACACTCAGGATTTCTCTCCACTGAGTCCTTTCATATATTCACTCCATAGAGGAGAACTGAACACTTTCCCATGTTTTTTTTTTTTTCCCCCCAGATTTCACTGCAGCAGGAGTCCTTGGCTTTGCAATGAATTAGGTCAACTGAAGGTTTGCTCACAATGTTTACATTCATATGGTTTTCCACCAATGTGAGTTATTTCCTGTGTTCAAAATAGACTGAGAGAACTGAGGGTTTGAAAGCAATGTTTATATTCAAGCAGTTTCTCTCCAGTATAAGTTCTTTTATGCATCCACAATAAGTGAAACTCCTGAAGGTTGTTCATTGTTTTCACTCTTAGGCTTTTTCCACACTGAGTCTTTTCATGTCCTCAAAACTGAATGGAAGAAATAAAGGCTTTTCCACATTGTTTACATCCATAAGATTTCTCTCCAGTATGAGTTCTTTCATGTTCATGGTTGACTACATGAGAAAACTCACAGTGGAAAGAAACCTTATGTAAAGGACCACTCAGGGAAGTGACGTAGACCTGGAGTGCCCTCGTGCTCATGCAGATCTTCAGGTTGGAAGTAAAAGTTGGTCACTGCCTTTCTGCTGAGTGGGAATCCTGGAGTGCTGGGCTAGGAAGGTGGGGAGAGAGGGGAGAGGTCAGAGGGCACACTGAGCTCCAGGGGGCTTGGCTGCAAATCCAGCAGATGGCAGAGGAGAAAGGGGTGAGTCATGCCCAGCCCATGAAGGGTGCCTTTCCACCACATTTCCATTTCTAGCACACAAATACACTCCCCTCTCACTCAACAGGTTTTAT